AACTTTAATTAATACCAAAAAAGAGGTTTACTTAATAATAATATCTCTTCCGGAGCACTTTTATGTATTTTGGGGGGGTGGCATTAGCAAAAATGGGGGGTGAAAATAGCAACTCTCTAAAAATAATATAAATAAATGACGTATTGACATTTATTATGTTACTTATAGACGGCTATTGGAGTTCGTTCTTTACGAGAGTTAGATGTTAAACATGTTGGAGTTGATATTATGCTTCATGAGCATGGTTTGTATGCTTTTTCTTTTATTTAGGGATTTTGAATTAAAAATTTTCTTCATTATCCACCATTTTATATATATTTAGGCGCAGCTGAAGGTGCCACTCTGGGCCTTCATAGGTTTGATAATTTAAAGTCCGCCAAAAATCAAAAAGCATCACCTCTTGTCTCACCAATTGGTTCATCTACAAATGTTGATGATAATTTATCCTGGAATACTGGTCTAATTTATGCGCAAGCACAAAATCATGCTCGAACATTAGCAGAAACACCGGCCAATCTTATGACACCAACTATCTTTACTGAAACTGTTCAGTCTTTCCTAAAGGATTTACCAAACGTAAAAATTTTTGTTCATGAAAAAGAATGGGCAGTCCAAAAGAACATGGGGTCTTTTCTATCAGTAGCTAAAGGTTCTGTTGAACCATTGAAATTTTTGGAAATTCACTATAATGGTGGTGAAGATGGTCAAAAACCTTTAGCGTTTGTAGGGAAAGGAATTACTTTTGATAGGTTAGTATTCTCATAATCATCATAAACAATTATTAGATACTTTATTTCTTGAGTCAGTTAAAATATTTTTATATTAATGAAACTAGTGGTGGTATTTCTATCAAGTCATCAGCTAAAATGGCAGAGATGAAAGGAGATATGGGTGGGGCAGCAGCTGTGTCGTCTGCTATCTATGGTATAGCTAAACTTGGTTTACCGATAAATGTTGTTGTCTCTGTTCCATTGTGCGAAAATATGCCATCAGGAATTGCGACGAAGCCCGGTGATGTCGTTAGGGCCATGAACGGCAAGTCAATTGAGGTATAAATAAACATTGTTGTTTTCTTATTTTTTCACGATTATTTGATCCGTAACATATCCGTGATAAACTATTTTTAAGGTTGACAATACAGATGCTGAAGGACGTCTTATTTTAGCGGATGCGCTCTATTATACAAGCTCTACTTACAAACCTCACAGTTTGATAGATGTTGCTACCTTAACGGGAGCTATGGTAGTCGCACTCGGAGAAATTTATTCAGGCGTGTTTACCAATTCGAATAAACTTTGGGAACAATTATTAAAAGCAGGAAAAATTGCAAATGACCCTTTTTGGCGTATGCCACTAGATGATAAATATAGCGAGGACATTAAGAAGTCAATTGTAGCGGATCTTGTAAATGTTGGGCCAAGGGGTTCGGGAGGTTCATGTGTAGCCGCCATTTTTTTGAAAGAATTTGTGAGTGGATTGACAGATGACACTGACGTCAGTGAAAAGGAAAATGAGAAATTGACTGATATGGATGCGGATGTGGATAAAAAGATTCGGTATGCACATATTGATATCGCGGGTTCAATGATTACATCACGGGATTCAGGATATCACGTCAAGGGCATGACAGGTTCAGTACATAATTTTATATTTTTTCGAGTTTATATAATAACAATAATTATTAAATTAAAGAATTTGAATCATTTATAGGACGCCCAACTCGCTCTTTAATAGAATTTTCTAGATTAGTTGCCCAAAATCCTGACTTCGTTTAATCAATAAAGTTGATTTCTTATCGAAGGTTTGGCTGAAAAGAACATCTTTTAGCCTTTGCAATTATTCTCATACAAATATGCATCATATAAACTACCGTAATAAAAATGAACCCGTTTTTTTTTTGTTTGGTTCTAATAAACTAGTCGGGTTTTATAATTACTGCATCTTATAAGCAATGAACCTTTATTAAATGCACACAATTTGTTCGTAAAAAGGATGAGAAGAGCCATATAACGCTAAGGACTCTCATCATTTATATCTCTATCTATTAGTAATAGACATTCCAGAATAACCAATTTTTAAAGCTGATATTACGTATTAACTTTTTCCCCGAGATAATTAGTTATTTGCACTTCAGTATGACTGAAGTACAAGAAGCGAGACTTTTACACTCCGATCCATGTGAACTGGAAGTAAGATTTTGATTGCAGAAATTTAACAGCCATTCAAGAAGAGCGAAGCTACATAGCTTAAAAAGAAGTGCTTTGTGAAATAGTTGCTAAGCTATTTTCAAAAAAGTTGGTTATACCCCTAGAACATAACCTCATGTCCAATTTAATTTAAAGTTCTAATCCAATGAACAGTATATTTGAATATTCGAATATATTTCACTGAATTGAATAATCAAATATACAGTATAATTTGTTTGCCAAATAATCCATTGAACATTCAATTGCTAACATTAATCAGCTAATGCTAATTAGAGTAGAAGATTAAATAAATATGAACCTAGTGTAATTTTGTTCGTATTATTTCTACTTAAGCATAAAGGTAGAGATATTAAGACCAGTGTTATCAATTTCTTGTTCTATTGATAAAAATTATATTCTATTCTAATCTCTATTGCTCTATTTTATTGTTCTGCTATATTAATATCTAATTATAATCTTATTGGCAATTTTTTTGTATTGACACAAATTTTATTTTATTCTAGCTTTATCGTTCTATTCATCTATTGCTGCCAACACTGATTAAGACATTCTATGGACCTGGTTCGGAAGTAGCCTTTGAAAAAACTAACAATATATTACAGTTAAACTAAGTTTGAAGACGTATCAGTTTGAACTTGAATTAGACCAGATGAACTATTTAACATCTCCATATTAAAAAGAGCATATTTGGTTCCAAATAACCCATGGGCGCCTGAAATAACGTGTACTTCATACAATAGATTAGCGAATCAGGAATTGGATTTTATCTAAATAATGCGTACTCGAAATAACGCGTAAATGGCCGAAATAACGCGTAAATGGCCAAAATAACGCGTAATATCCTTATTTCGAGTTTTTACGATACCTAATACAGTCAAACCTCGTTATAATCACACCCCTCGGGATAAATATTTGTGTGCTTATAAAAAGATTTTTACAAAGATGTGCTTATAAAGAGGTTTTTTGAATATGTTTATATATAATTAATTTCTAAATAAATGTGCGTTTTTTATATGATGTGCTTATAACGAGTGTGACTATAGGGGGTCTGACTGTATCAAGTTTTTATTTAATCTATGAATGTAAAGATTCAAAATATGATTAGGAAGAGTGAAAAAATATTTCATTAATATTAATACCGTTGATAGCAATGAGTAATCGTGATCAGCTCTTAGATACATATATATAGTTAAGACACCGTGCTAAAAAAAAAATATAGATGAAATCTTCTAAATATGAACTTTATTATTAATTTAATTTAATTACACATCAGAGATTATTTAGCATTGTTTCTAATATTACCACATGAAATATAACTCAAAATTATTATAATCAGTCTTTTCTTTTAATAGAAATCGATTTTTACAGGTTGTATTTAAATTTAATTATTATTACAATAGTCGTATAGGGCATTATCTAACAGATTTATTTAGCCATGGATATTTAATTCACATATTTACTTTACAATTGTATTAATACACTATTGTTTTGGAAGCTCAAAACGGTTTAAATTGTTCAACATTGCTATATTACATACCAAAATTGTCCTTTTGGAATTATGCCCATCAATCAGTAGGCTTGCCCTCTTCATTAGATCATTAGCACCATTATCACCGTTAAAACTCAATCATACTGTCACTAGGTAAGCCCACCTCATTATCACCATCAGGTGAAAAAAAGAAATTTCCATCTTCGTTTGATTCATTTATTCCATGATCAACTTCTTTCACATATTCAATAACTTCGTCATTGTAAGTAATATCAGAAGCTATAGATGACGACGAAAACGATCGTGTAAATGGAGTTGACTGTTGCTCAAATGTAGAATCGTTTACAATCATGTTGGATGAAAGTGGTGAAAATCCTATTGATGAATGATTTTTAACTTTTGGAGATGATGTAGATGATGCTGTTATAGAAGGAATATTATTTCCAATGTGGATGTGATAAGCATCCTCAAAAGATAGTGGTGTTATAGCTGTCGATTAAGTGAAAACCAAAAAATCTTAAAAATTTTACTTGAAAATAATTAATTATAAAAGACAGGCGTGCTGCTTACATGTATCAACAACAGTCTGTTGTGTGTGACCATTGGAGAAACCATTCAACATACGATCTTTAGATTTAGTGCTAAACGCAGAAAGGGTTGGACTAGACGGTGTAAAGTCAAGTGACGTGCTCATTGCCGTAGATAAATTTACTATTTGTTTATAAATATTTTAATTATAATTATTAACATCACAGATACACCAAATCGAATATGTACATACCAGAAATATCACCAGCTCCTCTGCCAATTGCTTTACCCGCTGGAACAAGAACCGCTTTACTGATCTTGCTTTTATTATGATTATATTTGTTTTCTTCATTCATCCACTCTTTAACACCAAATTCATCATTATTAGTATCATTAACAAATTCTACACTTTCTACAATGTCTCTTCGTATTTCAATCTTCTTTGAGCGAGGTACTTCTCCTTTATTTATAGCATCTTTATAACCAGGTAAAAATACTTGAAATGAAAATTGAGGAGTTGCCCACAATGGTGGTGGTAAAGACATTTTTGAATCGGTATGCGTTGTAATTTCAGCATTCGCAAGCCAATTCTTTCCATCTCGTTTAACCGAACTTTCACTTTCGGTGCATTTCTTTGGAGTCTCAATTACATTCTTCACTTCAGCCCAAGAACTATTACGAATTAGTTGCCATTCAGCAATATCTTCGTAATTCGTCACCATGTCGAAAGTTCCTAATTCTTTCTTAACAGCACCAGCAATTCCCATCCCTATACTCACAACACCTGCAGCACCACCTACTAATGCTCTACCAACATTTGCGACAGTAGCCGCACTTCCTGATAACTGAGTACCAGCAAGAGTAATTAAATTATTATTGTTTATTTCATCTTTTGTTCCTTGACTAGAAGTTTCTTCAACAACTATTTTCTCCATCCATAAACGATGTAACGTTAATATACCAGCGGGATGAAAACTCAACAAATCCTGATATCCAATATCATCTAATTTGTTATCCCGAATTTCAACCCCAAGATAATTAGGGTGAGAAGAATTGTTTATAGAATTTTGTGACCATGATTGAGTTCTTCTACGATTTTTTCTTCCCGTAGAAGTGCCATTTGACTTAACACCTTCCATTACAACATTCGGAGATGATCTCCTTTTAGCCTGCCTCTTGGCATTTAAGTTAGCAACCAACAAACCGTTGTTTGCGTTTAATTCTGATTTAGAACCATTAGACATAGAAGGTAAGAATTTAATACAGATTCCTGTAGGTTTCCTCAAGTAATGAGTAGGAAGTGGAATATATGGATGTGATATATGTGATTGTCCATTATATTGAGAATGAAAATTATTCAAATTTCCATTATATTGTAATTGACTTTGACGACGTGATTGATCAATTGAAGAAGTATTAGAATCTGTAGACGATAATGGATAATACTCATTAGGCTTATTAAGATATATATTTGAGCCTTGTGAAGTAAAGTTAACGTCTAATGAATCTGATGGTAGAGGAGTCCGAGGCTTAATACGAACCACAGGTGATTGTGTGGTTGATTTATACTATAATAAATTTAAAATAGTTAATTTAGTTATTTTAATGATCAAATCGAACATTTTACAACTTACCAATTCATCTACATTATTAACCCATCCTGTTATATGAGAAGGCACATGTGCGGGACCACCATAGGGATTTATTGCAAACACATGGATGGTTCCTCGCCCACTAGCGACTGCACACCACCTGGAATCACCACTCCAACCTACACCTCCGTCACTAACACTAGCATTTGTATAACCTCTAGATAATTGGTATACATGCTTTAAATTCTTGTTACTTCTTTGTTGACGACTTTTACCAACAATTTCGAAAACATGAAATTGATGACCTTGAATTGATGTTGTAAATAAAAAGGAACCTGAAGGATTGAATGATAGATGTCCAACAGGATGTGTGTGCGGTGAAAAATGAGCAACAACACTAGGTTGTTTTTTTTGTGCGCTGAATGAAGTACCCAAATCGCATACAATAACCTAGTTAATGCATATCAAAAAAGGTGAAAGTTGGATTTTTTTTTTTTAAAAAAAAAAGATGTTACATATATTAATAGAGGACATGATCTCTTACCGCTCCTATAGCACCATTTTCTTTATCATTCTCATAACCATTAGTGTTATAATTTAAGCCTACCAAATTGCTACTTTCTACACTACCATTATTCACACCTCCGCCCTTTAAATTGTAATGATATCCATTAGACGGGCTATCTTGTGGAGAGAATGAACCACGCGAAGCCGGACTAATTGAACCTGCATGATTTTTAATATTTATGGGCATTGTAGCTTGTGATGAATTTGAGTTGGCAAAATATGCAGAAAAAGTCTGGTATCCATAGTCGCCTTTATACAAAATATAAAATATAAAATATGATAAAAATTAATATGATATAAAATGGCAAGAAAGAAAGTAATCAACTTAAATATAAGTATATACCTAAAAATTTTACACCATTAACAACTTCTTTTGCAACACCTTTGGCAACTTCTTGATATTTTCCAGTTGTTCCGACAATACCATCACTTTCATCCATTGCATGACTATCCATTTTAGAATCCATTTCCGGAGGATGACTCGTTGTTGAATAAGCCAACAATCGAGGTCCTAACGCGAACACTGGAGCTCGAATTGAAGGATGTATCGCAACATCTTGTAATGGTGAAAGAAACAATGGAGCCAGTGTTAAAGGTGAGATTATATGAAGTCTTGGTGGATTAGTTAGACTCTATTGGTTGATAAATAATAAATAGACGAATTTAGCCAATTAAAAAATAAACAAAATTCGGAATTTTAGAAATACAAGATCACATACCACAACGATGGCTCGTTCATTACAATTCACATTAACAATGGTACCCTCATTCTCAAAATCTAACGTCTTTACAATTTGATTTGCTTTTAGAGAAAAGAATTTTAATACACTTTTAGGTTTTGTAAGTATGTCTAGGTGGCCATTTTCTCGTTGTGGAGTAGGTGTACAACTATTAAAATTAACATAATTATTTAATTAACTAAAAATTAATCTAAATCGATGAATTATCCGGTGATAAAAAAGTCTTACACTATACAAATAAGCGGACGAACATCTGCAAATTTGTCACAAAGATTTTTAGACGAATAACGCGGGTTACATATTGACTATATTATATTTAAAAGCAGCGCAAATTAATAATATTAAAGAATGAGGAAAAAAATTTTTTGGTTAGGTTAGGATAAATAGCCACCTTTATGCACGTGACCTGGCCAATATTTTCATTATCTCTGATAGACAGAAGTTCATGAACATTATCTATATTTGATACATTCCATATTTGAAATCCGTCGGGATAACCTAACAGTAGAACCGACTGGCTATCAAAGAGAGAAAGAATAATAACGGTCAACGCGACAAGATTAAACTGTATAATAAAGCATGAAATACATCTAAGCTTATATATATTTGTATGTTTTATGAAATATACTTTTTTTCGCAATTATGAGTATTAGAAGTTATAATTTCATCAAATGCCGCGTATAAGATCACATCTTTTTTTTTATCAAAAAGTCCATCAGAAATAGGAAATGATTGAGAATTCATATCGTTGGCTAATTGATGCGACAAATAGTCCGGATAATAGTTTATGGGCGGTTGATAATCGGTTGTAGAGTTTGCAGAGGCTTTACGTAAGGAAGCAATGGAATTCGGAAAAGAATGCGCCACATAAGAAGACCAACCAGATAAGACAGAAGAGATAGACTCCAAGGTAGAAGGGTCTCTATTAAAAGATAATAAAGGTTATAAGCATAATTTTGCGATCTCGAAAAACCAACGGGTTTTAAAGCTAGTTACCTCAATAGTTTTGGGTCAGCCTTAACCCCGTTGACGTGAGTAAGTTGAGGAATAGAAGACATTTCTAGAGCGGATGTTTATACACGATATTGGAACAAGCACAAAACAAAAAAAAAAAACGTAAAAAAAGCACGAGAAAGAAATTATATATATCAAAAACGTTTGAATTTTTTCTATATTTTTTTTATTTTTTAATTTAATTTTTTAATATTTAGTAGGTATTATATTAAAATAGATTAAAATATATAAATCAATAAAGAAGCAAGAATAAATGAAAGACTAACAACGAGGATGGGTTATCTTGTAGTGTAACTTGTCAATATTTAATAAAGAAAACATGAAGTATTTATACACAAGTTATAATATGCATATTTATACATATGATCCATGGTGAGTCATAGAATAATCTACCGTAAAAAACTATGTTGATCGTGTAACCAAAATGCATTAAGATAACCCCAGTGAACTATATCGATATCTGTCAAGACATATCTAGTGGTTATATTTGGTATCAATCATTATTAATAATAATAAAATATAATTCTGTAATTGTTTACATTCTACATGAAGAGAGTAAATGATCTGACAAAACTCTGGGGCTTTCTAGTTTCATACGTCAGGATCTGTTGTAAGTCAAATGTTACGTATGTACTAAATATATATATAAAAGCGCAGTAGTCGGCCAATGGTTGGTTATTCCGATTGCAACCGTAGATATATGCGCACCGCACATACGTACGTACGTCGTAAAAGTACTGTACCTTTTTTCGTATAAATTCTGTCTCCGTTATGGAACCTAATACCCGTCAGGTCTTTATTCTCCGCTGTTAATTTAACGTTAGAACAGATGATCATAATGTGACCATAATATTATATCATGTTTTTGTTACACAACAGTAATAATGAAAAATTTTATTCATCTGATAAATTATTTATACACGTGAATTAATATGAAGCGATCAATAATAACGGTAACGGTAACGGTAAATAATATATTATAACGACATAATAATAATATATACACTGTAATAATGATAATATGGGCTGCCAATAGAAATCAAGCAGATTGACATTTTAAGAAAAATTAATGCTTTAAACTTTCTTGCTTATATCTCAATGAATTTCTAAGCTATTCGCATTATTTAATAGTCAAAAGAAAGCCCAAGATATAAGCTTTCTTTTGGCTATTCAATAATGAGAATAGCTTCGAAATTCATCGAGCTATAAGCAGTGGAAATTAAAGACTTGATTTTTTTAAATTGTTAATCTATTGACGGCGCCTATATATATACTGTAATAATGATATAACAATAAACGCAATATCTATGTATAACTTGAGAACTCAAAACATCTACCATGTCTCAAGGAGACGGGACTATATAATAGCTATTGGTAAAGAAAGAAGCATGCAAATTCATTTATCTTTAAAAGCACCTCTAAAACTAAACCTTTTAAGAAAATAGCAAATAAAAATGCATTCATCGATTGAAGCGTTCAGATTTATCATTGTTCCCATGCTCAAATAACCACGTAATATTATAGATGGGCCAAATCTCGACCTTTAAATCCTCTTTTTGAATATTGTTCAGAATGCTCTTAACATTATCCCCAACCGTTCCATACTGGTCGATGAACTCTTTAACACGTTCTTTATCGCCATTACCCTGCACCATCAAAATTTCTTTTGTAAGGTTTGCAATGGATGATTGAATAGAATCAAAATCTACTCTGAATTTATTTTTATCATCAAATATAAATCCACCTCGAGAAAGGATGTAATTTAGTTGTATGACACGACCAAGAGCATGGGCCTATAGATTAAATCTTGGGTTGGTTTGCTCAACGATGTTGAATTGATGAAGAATGTGAATGAAAAAAAAACAAAGGCGATACCTCCTTATGACCAAAGATGAGAGATCTAACAGTTAGAGCGAGATAAGTTACATATAATTGTTCCAAAGGTGGTTGCGTCGTCATGAGACCTTTATTCATAAGATATGCCGCGGCGAATAAACTCACAAGATCTGTAACATAACGATTAGACATTACCATTATAAAAAATCTGGAAATAAAGTTAAACATATATTCTACGATTACCAGCTTTAGTTTCTTCAATAGCCGAATGATATTCTTGTAACCTATCGCGAACAGGAACAGAATCTGACCCTACAATGTAATGTGGACCGTTTGAATGTCCTACTTCGTGTAATAGTACACGGGTCTTTTTTAACAATAATTGTAATAAATAATTAATCATTGAATTAATTATTGATAATAAATGAATATAAAATTTATTTATTTATTATAAAGTACTTACGAAGTATGCGTCGAAAGAGAGATGTCGAAGTTGATCTTCAGAAATAATGAATTTCCCACTTGGTTCTATTAACTTTTCATATTTTGCTATTAAAAAAAATATATATATAAATATATATATAAATATGTGTAAACGCAGAACAGAAATTTGCGGCATATTATTGATATATACCACGCTGAACGTTCTTGATGAGTACTAATTTTGAACCAATTTTCTTGACTTTTTCCTACATATTATACTTATATCAGCTATAATTAGCGAAGAAAAAAAAATTTCAAAAACCAATTAATTTGGACTTACATTATTAGGCAAATTGTAAGCAGAAGCAATTGGTACTATTGTGAAAAAAAAAAAAACTAATTAATTAAAATTAATCAATCATCCAAAAATTCTAATGATAAACAATTACCACTAACACCAGCGGAATACAACTCATTAACCACAATAATCTTTGGGGTATTGAGATCCTTATTCTTATATTCATCAGGTACTGGCAGGTTATTTTCAATATCTTGCAAATATGTAGCGAAGTCTTCAACTAGTGCAGAAGACTCAAAATCTCGTGCATGAACAAATAATTCGAAAGAACTTTTATAAGAGAATAATTCGTCGGTATAAACTTCATAAGGACCCACTGTCACTATATTATTGAGGATTTACGAAACATCGAACCAAATAATCTGCAATAATATATTCTTAACGTTAACTCTAGTATTATGTGTAGTTTTACCTTCAAGTCGACAATCCTTGCTAATATTTAGCCAAGAAACCTCACTTTCAAAATATTGATTCGACAAAAATGCATCTCCCCTTGACCGTAAAAATCTTCCAAGAGATGGGTCATCAACCAAATCTGCTGCCTCTTTCAAAAATTTATTCAAAGGTACTAGGAATTCCCTGTATTCTTCCGAATAGGGATTCAAAAATAATTGACCATTTTCATTTCTTTTTATAACATGATAAAAACCTTTAGCAGCCTTTTGATCGTCGTCAGAGAGTTTTGATATCCAATCGTTGAATTCATTCTTAGTCATATCTTCCGGATAAAAATTAGCGCCTTTAGGTTTTGAAGAAACTCCAGAAATGAATGCGGTATTATTATCAGTTTTGTCCCATGGTCCTTTCATGATGTGGAATAATTGAACTTCTTGTGAGTAACGATCTGAGTTTTCATCAAATTCGGCTAAAAAAAATTCATTATTCTTCCACTTTTGGCGAAGATAGATTCTATTTTATATAATTAAATTTAAAATAATAATAATAATAATAGAATTCGCGTCAAACAGTTTTATAATAATTGAAACCTGTCAATAATAGATCCAGCTAGTACAAGTTTATGAATTGCTTTGATCTCTTCTTGACTAAAATTCAATCTAGAAAAATCAACACCTAAAATAACAATAGCAAATTTCGAAACTCGTTTCATAATGTCCATTTTTTCTTTATTCATTTCGTCATCATTTAAAGCTATCTATTTTGTACAAGAATGATTTCAAGATTTGACTTTAAATTGTTAGATTTAAGCACTGAAACAATATTAATACTAACCACATGTGAATGCAATAACACGACTAACCAACATAGGAAAAGACAAAACAAGTATTTAATTTTCATTGTTGTAAACGATTCAAAATGTTCCTTATGAGAATTCAAAACAATGAATTCAGTTTTATGTAAAATGATTTTTCACACAAGTTAATTATCTTGTTCATGTTAAACTCGATTGATTGAAAATAATGTAATAATGAAATAAAAATTGCGTAATTTTTCAGTAGTTTCAAATTTCGTCCGTTACTTGTTACATATTTATTACATATTATTTTAACTTTGTTATAATCATGAACTGTGTAATCATAGATTGTATACATTTCTTTTAATTAATTTAAAAATATACTACTTCAAATAAGCTTGATGTCAGAATACTGCATAATATCACTCTATTTAATCTCTACAATAATGTTATTTAGATGAAAGTCATGAAGAAAATAATGGTGGCAATAGGAGTCCCAATAAAAATTATTCAAAATTTGGAGCATTTACAAAAAAAAGTGGATATTTCGTGTTGTCTGGTGTCATGGAGAACTTCCTAGGCAAAATTTCCGATTTTTGATACTCTTACAAAAACCTGAGTTAGGATATAGATATTTATTAGATGTAAAAATTTATGTACCACTAAACATTAGAACTTTAGTCGTGCAAAATACAAATGAAAGAAACCATCAACGAACTATGGTTTATCAGTTCGGATGAAATTTACCTTGCTGTTTTTTTTATTTCTTTTCGGAAAATTTGCGCATCGTGTAACAAAGTTCGCGAGGTCACATCTTAGTTTTTTACGGCCAAAATAAATTAAACTAAAAAAGCTTAGGAACAAGCAGGTATGATATTCAAACCTCCGCTACTCCGCTACTTTAATACTTTTATACCATATCAAGTTTAGTCTGCGCTGGAAAACAGCAGAGACCGTTAATGTTACACATATGTTAAAACTGGTGAGGGATTATTAATTTGTAATTGATCATAGGCGAGAGGGATTCACTTTGGATCGGGCACTGTCTTTGCTGTAGCGCTGGAACCTCATAGGCAGAAGTTTGTCTGATTGACTAATAAATTCAATTTAATTTTACATTATTTATACAGTTTAGAGTACTTTT